CGGCCACCAAGGAGCAACGAGAATGGTGTTGGGTTTGTCCTGCTTTATTCAGACAATTGCCTTACGGAGGAGTGGGATTGGTGGGAAGAGGTATGTGAGGGTCTTGGGCCAGCAGTCAACGAACGCGTCTCCTCGGGAGTGTTTGCTGGTCCCAGCATGGGAGCAATAGCACTTGTATTTCTGATTTTTGCGGGAGGTAAAAAGGTCTAGAGTCGGTTTTCACCATTTTTTGCACAGGTGGAGGGAAATTGTTTGATCTAATTCCACTGACCATGCAGCCGTTTGCACAGCCTGTTGCACACCAGTTGTGCCAACATGAACTGTATAGGATATTTCAGAAAATGTGCATGTTAGCACAACAGATTCTGTGCTAGTGCAGCTGCATCACTGGCTACAAGTACTTCAGTCAGAGCCCATTCCTATTTGAAGAAGGGTTCGTGCATGTATTCTAGAAGGGCTTGTTTCAATCTTGGCATACTTTGCCATTCAAGTAACACTGATTTTATGTTCAGGCAGTGTCGTTTGCTGCTTTGTCACACTGCACTGTGTGGTGCTACGCTGCAGGGTGTTCTGCCTGTCACCTTGCTTCTTTGTACAATTCCCAATGAATTTATCATGCATTCAGCAGAGTCTTTCCTAAAACCTACTTGAAATCACTGAAATATTTCTCATGTGCAAAATGGAACCCAGTGTAACATTCACCTCTTCAACTGAGCATTCAGCAATATTCATACTGGAGAGCCTACAGCAGGAGAAATGGGTGAGGAAGCTCAAGATTATATGATGCAAAAGCATGGGAAAGGCAAAGGGGAAGCTGAAACTGGCTCCTTGGCTGTGGCAATGCCTCTCTGCTGCCCTGGCATCCTCTTAAGAGGCAGGGCTTCAGAGAGCAGGCAGAACAAGGGGGGGGGACCCCACTTTAATCCCATAAAATGGGAGCTTCCAGCCTTACTCCTACTTCAAGGGGAAATTAGCTCATTCCTTGAATCACAACCCACCAATACTGTACCAGTTCTACTATATACTGAATGCTTTTTTGGCTGCTGGGATCCCAGTCCTGAACCATCCTGTTACTTTATAACTCTGCAAAGTAAAATCCAGATATACTTTGGAAATGGAACATGTGTTTTTGTGATGTCACAGGGTTTAGGTGTTGGCAATATATGGCTTTTCCCCAAATGTCGAAGCCAATTTTTAAAAATTCGTTTTGGTTCAAACAACTCCCGGTGGTCTTTAGAGGGCATGGGAGGCCATTTCTCCATGTTCTCAGACCCTCCAGTTTTCCAATTCAAAATATATACATTTGGCCACTAGAGGGCACAGGTAGACTTTCAAAGTTAAAAAAAATTGTCTATCCAGCCATTTGGGGATGGGGAGGGAATGTCATGTCAGTAGCTGCCCACCACACAGGGACGGGAATGTGTGGGCACTGGATCTCTGGAACACATCCACCCCAAACTAGTTACAAGAGTCCCAAAACAGTTGTCTGTTGCTGCAAACCTTTAAAACAATTTATATTTTTATAAGAAGCCAGCAGGAAAAGATACATCTATAAAGAACCACAGAACTGAAGTGTTAGAAGGGATTTCGAGGGTCAGCAAGTCCAACTCCTGCTAATATACAAACCTCCTGCTAGTTAACTCTGCATGTTACAAATGCTACCATAACTCGATTACATTGTGTGTACATTGCATTATACTTTGCTTTGTATGCTTCATTTGGAGGATGGAACAAATAAAACCATGCAATAATTAAACATGCACATATTATTTATGTCAAGCCCTAAATGCTGCACTTACTGGTGCAGCATACTGGAGCATTGAGAAACAAGCAACTTCTAACAGTGCAATATAACAACACTCTACTGTTAAGAATAGCTTTGCAGACCTTGTCTGAGAGATCTGAGTTGTCACATACCTGTTGGGAGAAGGGTGAAGGGGCAATGAATAATTCATGGAGCCCGGGCTGGTTTCCAACAAAACAAAATCTGCTTTTAATAATTCATGCTCTTTCATGAGAAAGACAGCGCAAACCGATAGTCAAAACCACAGCAAGTGTAACAAATAATAGCCCGTGGGTCTCATTAGTTCCAACTCCCGCTGAGCGTCCTGACCCAAATCCAGTTTTAAATTATATTTTTGGGGCTGATGAGTTGGGCGGGGCCATTAACGCAGTAAGCCAGAAATGGGCATGCATGAATCCAATGCTTTTCTTTCTTCTTTTGCAGCCACATTGACTTCTTACGCTCCAGAGCAGAAGTGAAAAGCTTGGCAGAGCCGGTGCCTTCTTCCCCTGCCCAAACCTCACCAGTCATTACCTACATCTGGCTGCAGAGCCAGTGGTTGGGAGTTGGATTCCCCACTGTGCCTCCTTGACAGCAGCTGGAATGGATGATCCAAAGGGTCCCTTCCAGCTCTGCAGTTCTAAGATCGCTGCTGCTGTTGTTTCCAGTTGACCTTTTTGTGTAGAGTCCTGGCTTCAACAGGGGCTGGAGAGTGACCTTGGGCTCTCGAAGGCTGTGACCGCACACCACAAGCTCTGACACATTGTACTAAGCCGGTATGTCTTTGAGCATAGCCTTAGATTGTGCATCTACCATAGGAGAGCCACCCTAACTAAATGCAGAGGCTCCTCACCAGAAGGCCATCAAGTAATGAATTGGCTGCAGCAACTATGAACACAATGACATTGTGAAATAGTTGTGCTCTGCATGGGTGGAGGGACTAACTCCGCCCAATGAAATCATGGAGGTAATCAAGGTATGTCAGCTCAGCCAATCCAGATACTCTGCTACGTGCACCTGTATAGTGGAATAAAACGGGGGGAAGTGTGTGGAAAATATAAAATATTAATGCAGGAGTAGGTGATAAATCTCAACAACCTTACTACTTCCTACTTAAATCTAAGAAAGACTGCCCGGCAAAATTTATCTTGCCATGAACATTTGGACTTTTGATACCTTGCCTTGAAGAAGTGAATTTCGTGGGGTTTACCCATGAAAGCTTGCATATTGTATGAGGGTGAAAAGACTTCCTTTATGCCCTCTAGTGGCTGGGTGGGAATTCTTTTTTGCTATTTTTGGTTGCTCCTAAGCTCTTTTAAACAACTTCTGGTTTTGAAAACTCCCTTCCACATACATACACTCAAACCAGGTAGGGGAATTAATGGGAGACATCTAGAAAGGGGACTTTCAGAGCATTTATTTTTGTAAAGCAGTTTTTTAAAAGGGTGAGGGGGTGATGGAACCATTTCGGGGGAGGGGGGCAGAGATAGGCCTCTGGAAGCCACATGTATCCAATGGGTTGTATTTTCCTCCTCCTGTTTTAAAGATAAAAAGAGGTTGTTTCCTTTGAAAGAAGTTGCCTTATATAACTGGCTCGCTTGGCCATATTCAACACAGGCTGCAAGTAAGTTCTCTTGAGTCTCAACCTCCCCATGTTCTATGTGAAGATGATGGGGACTGAACCTGGGGTCTTATGAAGTATATCTTCAACCCCTGAACTGCATTCACTCCCCACTTGGTTTGACCCTGCCTACCATCATTTTCTCGAACAAACTCAAACAATAAAAATGTAGTACAGTGGACCCTCGACTTACAGACAGCTCGACTTACAGACTTTTCAAGTTACAGACTTCTCTGGCCGCAAAATTTAGGTTCGACTTGCAGTCGGAGAATCGACTTACAGACCAGAAAAAAACCAAAATGGAACAAAAACGGCCAGTTACGGGATTAATCAGTTTTCAATGCATTGTAGGTCAATGGAGACTCGAGCTACAGACTTTTCGACCTGCAGCCACCTTTCCAATACGGATTAATTCCGTAAGTAGAGGGTCCACTGTACTGATGCACTTTACACATGAACCACACAGAGAACTTCCTGTTTGGAGTGATGTCGTTTATTCATATAATCCACAAATAATTAGGCAATACCTCAGATTCAATCTTGCTATGCAAGCAACTTCACAAACTACCTAGTATTAGTCAATAGTAAAAAAATACCATGGGTATGAAATGCCATGGCAAAGTACAAGTTTGCTATAGACTACACATGGTTCTGAGAGGTGCTGGCTGCAACCCAACAGGAATTGGTTCTTTGCAAGCCCATTTAAAAAGAAATGAATTGTATGTATGAGCATCATTGCCTACATGTGCATCTACCCATCATCGCAGCAAGGTTTACATAGGAAATTTCTACACACCATGTGCATGTCAGCTTTGGAAAAAAAAAAACACCAACCCACCCGCCCATACTTGAAATCTGATACTTCACAAATGAAGACAGTATAGATATTTTCTATTTTGGACCCCTTAATCAGTCACATGCAAATGTTCAATTCTTGACACATTTGCAAACACAAACCACTAACCCTGGATTTTCAAAACCAATGCAATTCAGTTCCACCACGGTGGTACGAAAAGGGTAGTTCAGTACCATCATGAACATCTGAGAAGACAGCCTCTCATTAGATGCCTTGTTATTTATAAGGGTAGTGGTGCCAGGAGTGGGGTTTGCTATCAACACAGCCAATGCTGTCAAAATCTTATAACACTCATGATCTACACTGTCATAGCAAATACAATTCTTTAAAACTCCTCTGCATTTATACCATATATCTCTTTTTTTCCGTGAAGCATGAATGGTTGAAGGGGTGGGGGATGTTCATTTTAATGTGTTCTGCCTGCATAAGGCTCAAGTCACATACACGGTCTTCTTAATAATGTACAAAGGCAGGGCACAATTCATACAATCTCCCATTGTTTTGGCTGATACTGTTTTAAGTATGTATCATTCAGATCAATGGGACCTAAAGGTGCTTTACTTCTACTTGATAACACCCCTTATAAAAATTTGAGATTTCCCCTAAAACAAAATCCAGTTAAGTTAAAATGCTTGCTTCCACAGTACAAGTTTCAACTCAGGTATTTCACATATGCAAAACAACCCAAAACCACTCCCCACAGCTAGAGAGAAATACAATTCTTTAATTCTTTAATTCTGAATTGAGAAAGAGAGAGTGGGGAGCAAGAGAGAGTCTAAAAAAAATAAGAACAAAACTTAATGTGGTGCATTGATTCAGAATGTTTTAACACTGCAAAATGCTGCAATATGACCTCTCTGCTTTAATGACAAAACTCCTCAAAAGGAACGGCGTTAACAAGATGCCAGAGAGAGTGAGAGAAAGAGACAATTACTGCACCAAGAAACATGCATACAATCGCTATGGTCATTCAATACATTAGCGATTTAATCTCTAGATGGTGGCATAACACAAGAATGAGGCAGTGTTTTCAAAACTGGGCCCGATTGATGGCTACAGGTTGATCAAACTTTCTGAGGCAGCAAAATGAGGGCACAAAGCCATATCTGGATTCTGGAGTTGTTTGATGATTCGTTTGTGGAACTTCTCTCGCACACGGTTAAATTCCATGATGTCCATGGGATCTTCCTCAATCCAGAATTTATGGAATTCATGCATCAAGTAGCCTAAGAGAACACAAATCCAGACGGTTAGAATACAGATGAAAATGGTATCCTTTTTGTTTATAAATCAACAGCTACTGCTAGGGTGGTATAGCAGCTCAGATGTTTGGACTATTACTTGGGAAATCCAAGTTCTAGCCCCAACTGAGCCATGAAATTCATTAGTGTGTACGTGCGTGTGGTGGGGTCTGGTCTCTCTCACCCCCCCAAATACTAATTGGAAGTTAAGGTAGAGTCCCTAGAGGCTGACAACTCTGATTCCAAAGGCACTGTGAATCCATTTCAGGTTGATTCAGTACTTTGCAAGTGTCACTGAAGATGCTGAATCTATCTGGGAAATATAGTTCATCACCTTCAATAGCTCCTGTCAAGTTCAGAGTGAAACCAGAAATGGATTCACAGCACCTCCAAAATTTGAGTCAACACCCTGTTTTGAATGAACTGATTTTCTTTTCTTTTTTCTGTCTGTCAGCATTCACATCAGTATGTACTTATCTAGAGTATCGTTGTACTGATGATCAAAAGATGACTTCTTCAAGTCATCATGAAGATGACTTTAACAACTGTTGTCTTGTGTGTGAAAAAAAGTAAATAAATAAATGAGACTTGTGAGGAAATGTTATGACATCACCAGAACTTGGAAAACTTTTCTCTCTCACTCTCTCTCTCTTTTTTCTTTTTTCTTTTTCTTTGTGACATCACCAGAATTTGGAAAACTTTTCTCTCTCTTTTTGGACTACAGTTCCTGGGACTGGCTATGCTGCTGAATGATTTCTGGGAGTAGAAATAAAAAATAAAAAAGTTTTTTTTTCCTAAAAGCAGTCCCCTTAATTTGCTTTTTGTGCAGTCAACCCATACTTTTTGAAGTCGGGGAGTTAAAAAGAGCATTGCTGAGTCGGGAGAGTGAACCTTTTGAAAACCAGAAGTGCACACAGACCCAGAGTGGGGAATCTCAGCTTTTGAGAATTTTGTCAGCCGTCCCACTGCCTAATTATGATGTCCAAATGACAAAGTGCAATAAAAATTATGATTCTCTGCCAGTATTTTTTCCACTATATTCTGCAATATCTTCAGATAAGAATGTCCAAATTTGCAAACATAACCATTTGTTATTAAAAATATCTCTCAGAAGAAAGAACATGATGTTTCTGCTTATTGTGCTTATTATTTTTATGAACCTTACATGCATTCCTGTTTCAGTCTGCACCTCGTATGTAACACATCCGGCAGCGTTTAAAGATAAATAGGGAGGTGAAGCCCAGTTTATTACATTGCCTCAAGTATCCTAAATGCAGCTTTTGAACTGAGGTTGGAGGCCAAGTTCCACACGAAAAAGCACACCAGATGCCAAAGGGAACAGATAAATGCAGAATCAGCCAGAATTTGACCTAATAATTGCAAGGCCAAATTAGTCCAGCTATCATTCTTTCCCTGAGAGCCAGAGCGTGCTGCAATTCAGACACCCAGCCTGGGGGCATTTAGAAAAAAAAATGTGTGGCTTCTCTTTTACTCCCCTACTTTTCCACTGACCTCAACTGCACTGGTTACTAGAAACAATACCACATTTACAGCACTATGAGGGAAAAATGTGGAAATGCTGTGGAAGTACTTTATGCAAAGGTACCTGTGGGACTGGAAAGGTGACAAGGTGGATTTGATTGAAATCCACTACTCAGAAAGATGCAATTCAGTCGTGCACCTCTTCCTCCACCAAAAGTACGGTTTTCCTTGCTGTCTACTTCAGTGGTTCCTAAGCTTGGGTAACCAGGTGTTCTTGGACTAAAAAATCCCAGAAGCCTTCACTACCAGCTGTGCTGGTCAGGAATTCTGGGAGCTGCAGTCCAAGGACACCTGGATTACCCAAGGTTGGGAATGACTGGTGTACTTAATATTTATTTTTCACAATCTCATTGCCCAGATTGACATCACCTCATCTTCTGTTCATTTCCCCTTCCCATTTCTGAAAAGGAGCATTTTCAATTAGAGAGATGAAGGCCTGAATTGGGTCAAATTCCCTCAGATCAAATCCTTGCTCACTTGGAGCCTGAAAATATGCCCTGAGCCATATACAAATGTCTGTCAATCTAGGAACCATGATTTGTGGATTCTGGTGTAGGTTCACAGGTTGAACCACGAGGGGTGATTTTGAACCAATGATCTTGAGAGCAACTGGGTGAGGATATCCCAGCACCTATGTATGTTCTTCAGAGTGTTACAACACAGTTTTTGAAATAACTGTTGGAAAAAAAGTTACCCAGATTATCCCATTTGGTAATCTGATCCTAGATCTTTCTATGCCTCAAGGATCACACCACTGCAGAAAAAGTGGGGAATGAATACAGTGGTGCCTCACAAGATGAATGTAATTCGTTCCACGAGTAGTGCTGTCTTGCAAAATTTTCATCTCGCAAGACAAAAACAATTCATTTGCCTTACGAGGCATTTGTCTTGCAAAAAACATTCATCTTGCGAAGCACGGCCATAGAAGAAGCTGTCTTGCGAGGCACCACAGCGATCACAAAAACCATTCGTCTTGCGTGTTTTTCGTCCTGCAAGGCGTTTGTCTTGTGAGGCACCACTATATGTTGTGGCAACATATAGAGCAGAAAGTGGTTAAATCAAAGAATGTTATGCTTGCATTCTTGAAGGCTTTCACAGCCGGGATTCCAATGGCTGTTGTAGGTTTTTTGGGCTGTTTCAGGTTTTTGGGGCCAAACAGCCTGAAAAACCTACAACAACCGTTATGCTTGTTTGGTTGTGCAAACCAAACAGCACCACCTGGTGGAGGGGGTTTGGCACTACTGAGTCAAAACACAAGCTAAGTGATTTCAGAGTTCTTCAAGACTCACAAAGGATCTGTTATAAGAAAGCATGCAGAAAACCTATATGACCAAACTCCACTTTGTATGTGCTATTTTTCCATGGCTGAAATCACACTGCATTTGGCATAGAATAAAATTATATCTGTGGAAGTTTGCAGGTAGTCAGGACTGTGCGCCTAATTGCACTAGTTGTGCAACTGTGCCTGTGGAACGACTTGCTGCGAATGTAGAGCTATCCAGAGCACTGGAACTCTCCTCTCTAGCACAGAGGTGGGGTAACATCAACCCTATACTGTATTTGATGACTTCACAAATCTCAAATTACAGAAAGCAGAAATTAGCCTTCTTCAGCTTGGTAACTCCCCTGATGCACAAGACCAAAACGCCCATTGCCTTTTCCTGGCAGAACACCACCAACATGGTTTTTATTTCTTTGCAACAACCAGTAACACTTTGTATGTAAGAATGTCAATTAATAGGAAAGGCAAGGTTGACACATTCTTATCAACAATGTGTTATAATCAAAACACAGCCTGAAACCAAGAGAGAACAAAGTCAACAAAGGAAGTGAATTCAAGCAATATTGGGAAAGAGGAGCTTATTATGTGTTCCAGTTATCAAAGGTGGGACAAACAAAGCATTTTTCCAAGATTTGCCAAGTACTCTATGATTATTTGGAGACAGCCAACCTTTGAAATGGGAAACAGGAAAGTGTTCCTTTAGCCTGAGATGATCAATGGTCTCACAAAGCAGATTTATCTCTTTTTGTCACATGTAGGTTGACAAATATTAGATATGATGTAAAAATGTAATCTAGAGCAGGGGTCCCCAACTGCTGGTCCATGGACTTTGCAGGACCCGGCCATGGAGACAGATCTCCCGTTCCCCCCCCACATGCCCACATGCACGCAAGGCCCGCCCACCCGCATGCATGCATGGACCGCCCACCCGCATGTGTACACGAGCACGCCTCTCACCCACGAGTACCCCCATTCACTCACACATGCACACAAGTGCAACACGTCTACCTGCGAGCGTGCCTGCATGCACACGAGCATGCCTCTCACCCATGAGTACCCCCATTCACTCACACATGCACATAAGTGCAACACGTCTACCTGCGAGCGTGCCACACTCACCTGTGCATGCATGCGAGTGCACCATGCCCACTCACTCCAGCCCCTCCATACACGGACCCTGCCACCCCCAACTGATCTGCAGTTCGGAAAAGGTTAGGGACCACTGATCTGGGGGACAGAGGCCATTGCAGGAGAAGGGTATTCACTCGAACAACTCATCTTTATTTCTTTTCTCCCTCAGCCTGCAGCTTTCCACACCTGCCAACACTGCACCAAAGAATGGGCCAACTCTCCAGATTACATCTTGTCAAAACATACGGGGTGGGGGTGGCTAGAAATCATCCCCTGTATCATGGACAGAAGTATTTTTGTCAACAGAAAATGTATCCTAGAGTAGACTCAATCAATGGAAAGCTAGTTTTATAGAACTGATCATCTGCACCAATTCTGGGCAAAAATATCACCAGCACAACAAATTGTTTCCCCTCCCCCATATCTACTTACAGAATGTCTGCTGGAAATGGGGTAACGTTGGAGCCTCAGGAGCAACATTGTAGAAGTGTGTTTTCAGAGCACCACTCACAAGGAGATTATAGGCAAGGTCTGTAATGTTAATGCCAACGATAGCAAATGAGTATCTGAAAAAAACACAAGTACAGAAGTTGGAAGACCTGGAAGGAACAAATACTCATGAAACAGTCACATACGATGTTCGTACGCATCCTGTGGCCTAAAAGCAATGGTAACCATGGCACTGAACGTCTTCTATGTCTAATTGTTTTCATCATCTGGTGAAAATTAAAAAAAACCAAAATGTGCTGCTTATATACCATCCCATATCATTTAAAGCACTCTCTGGGAGGTTACGATTTAATTAGACCCTGTACAGTACATTGAACAATGAACTACTGATAGCAAAATGATGTCTTATAACTTTGAAAGAAACTTTAAGGAATACCAGTTTTGTACAAGGGGTTTCAAGCCAATCTGCAATTCAAACCCAGATCAGTCAGGGTAAAAACATATTGAATATTTTAAAAGGGCTGTTAATACCTTTGCCAGCTCTGTGCAAAACACAAGTCTATAAGTCTCTCACAGGGAGTTTGCACGAAGCTGGAGTCCTGTGAAGACATTCAGATATTTCCCAGTGAAATCTGACAAGGCTACACATTGCTTCCTCCCTGTGAGTTGGGTACTCAATTTACCAACCTTGGAAGGATGAAAGGGTGAGTCAACCACGCGACAGCCATGGAAACTCATTGGGGGTTGGCAATGGTAAACCATTCTTTGAACTAACTTTACTGACTTCTCCCATTAGTGCTAAGGCACTACTTTGGGTGGTTACAACAAATACAATACAAAAAAAGATAAGAGCATTAAAAAGAACTACAATGAACCCTTAAAAACAGATGGAGCAGACCAATCATATAAAACCAGAGTGGACAGAGGAAAGGGGGTAAACAAGGTGATTAGATAGAGTTGGTGTGGAAAGCTTCCCTGAAAAGCAATGTCTTTAATTGCCTCCTAAATATCAACAGGGAGGGGGCTAGGTGGAGCTCCTATGGAAGCTGGTTCCATACGCTTGGAGTCACCACGAAGAAGGCCCTACCTCTTGTAGTGATTTCTGGTGCTCCCTCAGGGTGGCTACCTGGAGAAGCCTCGACTGGGATGATCTTGTGGGTCAGGCAGATGACATTAAGGAAAGATGCTTCATCAAACAGCATGGGACCAAACTGTGGAGGGCTTTGTATGTAAGTATCAAAACCTTGAACCTGATCCAGGACGCAACAGGCAACCAGTGGAGGCAAGCCAGAAACAGAGTGATACGGTCAAATTTACTTGCACCCACAACCAGTTTGGCCCCACCGAAGTCTCCAGATCAGGCTCAAGGGAAGTCCCATGTAAAGAGCATTGCAGTAGTTGATTTAGGAGATGACCATGGCCTGCATCAAAGTACTGAGGGAGTCCTCCTTTAGGTAGGGGCAGAGTTGGGTGATTAGCCTAAGCTGGTTAAAGGCTGATCTGGATACAGATGCAAACTGGGACTCCAAAGGGAAAAATCGGGTGCAGAAGAGCACCCAAGTTGAGCACTTGGTGTGACAAACCCAGACCTACTGGGGAGGACAATGCCATGCAGCCTAAGGACCATCCCCTCCAACCGATCACCCCCTCGGAGCAAAATCTCTGTCTTGTCCAGGTTCAGTTTGAGACTGTTAGCCCTGGTCCATTCCAGGATTGAAGCCAGGCAATGCTCAAGCATCTGGATGGCATTCACTGCAGAGGTGGTACATCTCACATACTCTGAAAGCCCTATCAGGATCCCTTTAAGTGAGAAGCAATTTAACAACAATTTAACAAAAACAGGAACACACTAGTATACTGACAAGAAGTTCAAGATTAGCATATGTAGGATTCCATCACTGGCAGCAGTAATTGGTTTGCTTCTTTAAGAGCATTGAGCAAAGGGAACGCTCAGGCTTAGTTAAGCCCTACATCTGAGTGGAGAAAGAACAAGAGAGAATACTTAAAAGGTATTTTCCTTCTCCACTCAAATACAGAGCTATTTCCCGAATGATACACCCCAGCAGTCTTCAAAAATAATGGGCATCAAGTCTAGGCCATTTTTAAAGAAAGATGATTTGTTTTTCCCCACCCCTGAATTTTATACCAATTACCTAATGAAAATTTTTGAGGAATACAAACACTTCATCTGGAACTTTATAGAGATAAAATGAAGCTATTACATAACCTAAAATTTTGTTGTTGCTAATCTGGAAGCCCTAAGGTGTGGGGCAGGTGCTCCCACCCCCTTGCAGGATGTAATATGGCAACAATTCTTTACACAGCTAGGGCAGACCTTAAAAAGCAAAGTACTCAAGACAGAAAATTTCAGACATTTAGAAAACAGAACAGACAGCCTGGCATAATGCCATAAGAAGAGGGGTGGCCTTAAAAACCATATTGCCAACAAACATGAATTTGTGCTAACAGATTTTTGTTTTGTTTAGAATTTTACACTTACCCAATGGCTTTGTCGAACTTTTTCTTCTCCCACTCAGCCTTGCTGAATTTGCTGAAAAATTAAACCAGATTTTGCTGTTCAATGGATTCTCTCTTTGTTATCATCACTACCCGGTACAAGATGACCTTGTAGTATTCTGCTCTCAGTCTGGTGACTAATATGCTTGTAGTCTTTTAAATCTCAGCCGATCCGAAACCTCTGAAGCCACTTTAACTCATCTGCCCTTTACCGCTATCACTATATCCTATTCATTAGTACAGTCTACAAAGAGATTGTGACTTTGGCATTCTCCCTGTCAAAGGCAATATATTCTCTTTGCAGCCTTAAAAAAACTAAATATAAAAGGGGATAGGCCTCTTCTGCTACATTGGGGTAGAAGGAAAAAATATATGTGGAAAAAGCTCTCTATCTTTCACCTCCAAGCAAGGTTGACCGTAGCCTTTGGTATTCTGTTAAGACAGATGTGACATAAATCATTTGATATAAGCCTGAGGAACTAATACTACTCACTGGAGAGATGGAGGGGGAGAAAGTATTTCTCTTGCGCAGCTACTTTTAAAGCCTCTGACAGCCACTTCACACATAGCTTGGAGTAAAGGTCTTCTACACAGAAAGTCATTGATTTAACCCTAATGGTTAACCCTATCCTTTCCAATACACACAGGGTGTACAATGTCATCTGCCTCCCCTTAGCATATGTTCTACTATGGCTTTCCCCATGCCAGCACCCTCTTGGCATGTTGAATTACCATTCCGTACAAACCAGCTCTGCTGGCAGGCTGTGCTCAGGGTTGTAGTCCAACACTTTTGGAGGCAACCCATTTTGGCTCTAGTATGTGTAAAGCTCCATCCGCTGGTTCTACCATTACCGAAGAGGAGAAAGACTGTGGGATCAAGCTTTCCACTTTACAGGAGTTGTTGTGTACTATCAAGTCGCCTCCGGTTTATGGCAACCCTCTGAATGACTGATTCCCCCAAATGTCTTGTCCTCAACAGTCCCACTCCATTCTTGTCAGTGAGCTAGGTTTGTGAAAATATCCATTTCCAGTACACTTTAATTCAATGACACCAAGCACCACAATGTTCAGACTACCCAAAGTGCAGCAGATTTAAGTCTCAGTCAAAGGGCTGCTTTCAAAATAAGGAGGAGGCAGCATCTAATCTGAGGCTTGGATGTGCTGTGCTTGCTTTTGTGGCCTCTGTCAAAGTGGTTGCTGAAATGTGGCAGAGAAAGAGCAGCAGCAGCAAAAACAAGGTGTGCAGAAAATGCCTGTGAACACAAGATTTGCTAGCCACTAACTTTCCTCACCAGAAACCACGATGGGAACAATGATGTAACTAACACACTTTTTTAAAAAAGCATACAGTGGTGCCTTGCAAGAGAAATGTTTCGCAGGAGAAAAAACTTGCAAGACAAATGGTTTTGGCAATGAGGTTGATGACTCGCAAGGCGAATGTTCCTATGGCTGTGTTTCGTAAGACGAATGTTTTCCGATTTTCGTTCCTGCCTCATGTTTTTAAATGCTTTTCTATGATGTTTAAAAAGCCAAAGTTTTTTGATTGAAATTTTTGAAATCATCTGCACAATATGTATGACTTTAAAGAGCACTTAATAAATCCTTTGTAAACCAAATGTCACTTTGTTCTGACTTTTTTTGCCCATAGGAATGCATTAATTAGATTTCAATGCATTCCTATGGGAAAACGCGTTTCACAAGATGTTTTTTTCCGCAAGACAACATTAACCGTGGAACAAATTAAATTTGTCTTGCGAGGCATCACTATATTTTGTTTTGTAGATATTATTTGAAATTTATAAACATATTCCTGTGTATCTAGAGAGTCTCCAAAGTATGCACAACCAATGGTGGCTGATCCCATTGTGCTGCTTAACAGGTAAGCTTTCTTATGGCAGGGTAGAATTTGAACCCAAGTCTACTGGTCTACAAGCCAGAACTCACTGACTCTATCTCACGCTCTTTGACACTGACCTAGAAGCTACTTTGAAAGGCATTCTAGGCCGAGGCCTTTATTAACAAATATATTCCTTACTTATTTAAGAACAAAAATAGTATGTAGGTTACATCCCCATGGCCATTACCATCATTTTGGTTCATACACATCCTTGAAAACTTACTTTTTGCTTTGGGGTTAACATGTACTATAATAACAATAGCAGATTATCATGATTGTTCACAGAAAGCACTGAGCTGTAGAAAGCACTTTTGCCAGGAGTAATTAACAGGCCCCATCCTCATGAAACCCAAAATGTTAATGGAACACAGACATGTATGTTACATTTCTCATCATCCCCTTTTATATCGATAGCAACAAAAAGGTATTTTCAAAGATATGTCTGAGAATTATTTCATACTCTGGTGGATACTTTTCCAAGGAAGAAAACGACATGCACAGTCACGACATAAATCACCACAGAACATCTAGCAGACACACATACGCACACCGAGCAATAGAAAGATCTCCGCCGTGTATAATTTTCCCACTGGAAAATGGGAACATTTTATCCAGCAATGCGTAGAAACAAGAATATAAGTTCAGTGCTGAATTCTAAAACCTAATTTTTCAGCTAAAGCTAGGACACATTAAAAAAAATTTTTAAAGGCTAAAATAGATCCAAGGCAAGAGAGGAGAAATTGTGTTTAAATGAGAGATTATGACCAACTCTTCCCTCATGGCTTACATTTGACATTCTGGTATCAATTTTGTTTCCTGGCGTATGCCAGGTGAGACTGTTATAGGGAGGTAACCCCTGAAGGTCCAGAGAGGACAAACTGACCATTTAGGCCCTCATATGTTCCAGGGAGATAACAACCCCTGAAGGTCCAGAGAGGGCAAACTGACCATTTAGGCCCTCATATGTTCTCCCTATCTCCCTTAAAGTCTCACCCCCTCTATGTTAACATGACACATACCCGAGGGATGCAGATCTGTGAGTTTTTATGCACTACACTGCACATTATTCCCCCAGCCTGGAAAATTCTGGGAGTTTTAGCACCGTTCTCCCCACAAATCTACACATCTGTCTCTCTCCCTCTTCCTCATTCTTTCTTCATAACATTCCAGCCTCAGCAGTCGGTTTTTCCAGTTTGATCTTTGAAAGGAATCTTTTCCAGCTTTTGCCTACTTCCACAAACAAGACATGGAAAACAGGATATATTGTTTTAGAAGTACAGTACAACTGTCTCTTTTATAGACCACCAAGCCTATCATATGTAAGTTATGATATTTAAGAAGGTTTATAAACTAGCTGAGAAAAACTGGCATATTTTCAGAGCCATTTTTAAAAAAACAAAACAAAAAGTTACCAATACCAATAGCTGCTGCCATTTTAATGGTATGGGGTTTACCACCAGTGATATTATATTACAGCCATGGCTGGCTGGCTTAGAAAACCATGCTTCTTTGATTACCAAGACTGAGGATCTCTTTGCCATCCAGCTACTCCAGCTCCCGTTTCCTTTCAGCTTAGCTACCACAGCTAACACCCATAAGAACAGCTCTATGTGAGGGGAGGGTGAAATGGGGATTTTCCCAGAATTAATCCATGAGGTCTCCCTGGCATTTAGATTTAAGGGCTCAGAAGAGCAGCTGTAATTCTGATCACAGAATGGTAGCATATTGCTAGGGATGTGTACTATTACAGAGATCATGTACTGATTAATCTTGTCTTGAAAACATTATTTGCTGCTACTTAAGCATCTGTGAGCTTGCTGGATAGCTCAGTGGTTTAAGTACCTGCAGAGCCAGAGGTGGGGAGTTCAATTCCTCACTGTGCCTCCTATGAGGATAACCAGCCTCTGCGACCTCGGGCAAGCTGCACAGTTGCAGAGTGGCCCAAAAGAAGGGAATGGGAAATCAATTCTGAGTATTCTTTATCTGGAAAATCCAGCAAAGGGTTGCCACAGGTAAGAACTCTCTCTCTCGCTCTCTCTCCTTGTATCCCTATTGTTTTAATAATGGAACTGGGACACCATATGGTTGCTTTAAAAAAAGAATATGGAGAGATCATAAGCTTCTTTAGCAAGCAACTAAAGGCAAAAGGTGCTGTTGCAACTGTGACCAATGGTTAAACTCCTGCTGACTTCAACTATGTACCAGTGTGGTGAAGCGGTTAGTGTTCGGCTGGGATTCTGGAAATCCCAGTTCCAGCTCCTACTGAGTCATGAAACTCACTGGATGACTTTGGACTCGTCTTTCTATCTCTCAGCATCACCCACCTTGCTGGGTTGTTGTGGGAATAAAACGTACAGAAGGTAAGCCACGTATGCCACTTTGAGCTCTCTGAACTGAAAACTAAAAACTGGACACAAGTGCCACTAAAAAATAAAATTAATTATAAATAAATTGGATTTTAGAAGCTGTGCAGCGTTGCCCTTTAAGCATTAAGGACCAAAACAATGTTCCAGTGATCACATATTTTCCTTATTCAGATGAACCTCTCCACTTTGCAGAAACGTTAGGAGAAAAGGGTCTAGGAGTCTGGAACGTGTGGTTTATTACAAGAGACACTGAAAAGTTAAAACAGGCTTTCTGCTACAGCTTGCGAGGAAGCAAAAGTGATATGAATAAATATGTCTTGACACTGTATCCATGAATCTCTCCAAGGCATGGCTACACACATAATATAGCCTAACAAGGCTCAAATTAATATTACAATACAGGCCAGCAGTTGTCCTTGAGGGAATGCCTTTCCCTACGACTCACCTATGGCAAAAAGGGATCTTTACAAAAAATGTAGTAATGATGAGGGCTTGCTTAGGCTTCCCCCATGGCAAACAGATCTGCTATTTAGTCCTATAGCACGTTCAACCTTCTCAGTGTTCCTGGTTTAGAGCTTCAGCACTAAAGCATAGTAGAAGCAGCTAAACTCAATTACAAACAGTAACTATAGCTTTGACAAAGGAATTTATCAAATGGAATGAGGAATTTTACATGTGAGCAATATGTTTCTGGAAACATGAATGCTTCTGCGACCGTTCAGATGAACCTCTCTGCTTTGCAGAAACATTAGGAGAAAGGGTCTAGGAGTCTGGAATGTGTGGTTTATTACAAGAGACACTTAGAAGTTAAAACAGGCTTTCTGCTACAGCTTGCAGGGAAGTAAAAGTGATATGAATTTTTCCAGTTTCTGGAAATGTGAATGCTTCTGTGAACATGCTGGTACATTTGAGACGGTATGAACATTTGTCTTGCCATCCTCCTGTGCCACAGATCCTCTCCGGGTCTGTTCCTTTAGGTGGCTACACTGGAGGGGGTTCCTGAACAAGAGGTCAGGCCTTCTCAGCAGTGGCACCAACTCTTTCAAATGCCTCCCAGGGGGAGCTGCACCTGGCTCCCTCCCTGCCTAATTTTAAATCAAAAGCGTGCTGCTTATATACCGCCCCATAGTGCTTAAAGCACTCTCTGGGTGATTTGCAAATTAATTATGCAGGCTACACATTGCCCTCCAGCAAGCTGGGTGCTCAGTTTTATCAGCCTCGGAAGGATGGAAGGCTGAGTCAACCCTGAGCCGGCTACCTGGGATTGAACCTGGGTCGCGAGCACAGTTTTGATTGCAGGACAACAGTTTAACCACGGTGCCACGAGGTTCTTACTAAGAGGCTACTGAAGACACATCTCTTTCAAGAGGCCTTTGAAGGCAGCCTCTCCTGCCTTTTTGCCTCTGGACTCCTGCATCGATACGCTGGCTTTCAGGGCTTAATATTGGTTCTTATGTTGGTGTTGGGTTTTTCTATTCCATTTTGTTTGTGTTACTTGCACTGTTTTATACGTAGACCACCCAGAACAGTGCAGTCCACTAATGGGGTGGTATATAAATGAAATAAGTAAAAAGCTACCTCTGCGAATAAAAACAGGACTACAATTAAAACTATCCTCTACCACTGTCTGTTCAAGGACATAAAGCTGTCTGGGAAATAGTGCAGAACCTATCCCTTCTCCTGAATATTTTAACTGTGGCACTTTTTTGTCTTACACTTTTAAAATGAAAACTATGTCACTGAAATATTTTGATGGAATTCTGGGAAGAAACATGTTGGAGACCACAGTGGAACTGTAGATGAGGCTACTAAACAAAGATCCAAATGAAATCCTCCGCAGGAGCAAGCAATGCATGGAGCAAGGCAGGGGGGGTCACCCCAAATGTCAAGGGTCCCTTGCCTGAGTCACAAGCTGCCTATATCCTGGCACCCTGAATTCCCTATTTCCTATGAAGGAACCAAGAGGTTGGCTAACAGTAGAAAATACTGAGATTCTTTACATGATTGTTTTAATATTCTTTGGTGTATTTTGTTTTGGAAGAAAAAATTTTAAATTTAAAAGCTATACCAAAAAATGGTCGTGTTACTAAGTGAGTCTGCTTTACTACCTTAAACATAAGAACGCAAAAAGGACTCTGCTGGATTTTCTGAAAACTATGGATTAAACTGACCACCTATTTCAAATAGAGATCCTACAACTACTAAATGCAAAGCCCAGGGTGTAAGGGCAATTAAGAACTATCCTCAGCTATTGCTTGCCTAATTCAAAATCAACTAAAGGTTACATTTTGCCATTATTGCTAACAGCTACAGTACTGGCAACTGTATCTCCTACCGATGTATCTAATTGCCATTTAAAGCCATCAATGCTAGTGGTAGTCAACACACCCTGCAGCAATAAAATTCTTAAGTTCAATTACGTCTTGCAAAAGCATTCTAATGCTGGGAAATAATTAACTTTTTGGATTTTGTCTCAGAGACTCTACCCTTTCTCCCTTCTGAACCACAGCCAGCTTACCCAACCCCTCAGCAGTCTAATCTCCAAGCTGGACATATCCAGTACTTTCAACCTTTCCTTGTAAGATTTATTATGCCTTTGCTTAGGTGCCCTCCTTTGAAACCCTGACAGACAGAGCTGCTCCTCTCACATGGACCTGCCTCTGAGAGAGGGCTGCGGCTTCTCGCAACTGCTCTGCCCCCCCCCAGCACTGCTGCTTCTCCTAGAATACAGTACAGCTTAAAACATCTTCAGATCTGCTTCTTTCAACAGTTATGAAATGCAAAAAGGAACAAAAATAATATACCTTAGCTCCTCTTTAGTGACTTCCCTTCATTGTGAAAGATGAAAAAAGGAAAAAAAATAAGCAGCTTAAAAAGCAATATAAACATGAATTAAAATCGATGCATTCAATAACAAAAATTAAGTGGGTAGCGTTGGGGAAATGGAACATAAATCAATATTAAAATGTTTTAGTTATTAGTGGCTGTTAGGTCTTTAAGAAGAAGAAATGTAATAAACAATTGGTTAGTGCAGATGGAGTTATTTAGTCATGTGAGTGACAAGAAGAAGCCGTGTGGAATTAACTACCATGAGGTGAACCACTAATTTGATTGGTTGGAGGCAGTATAAATTAAGAGGCTGGGTAGTGTGTCCTTCACAGTTCTAGTTTGACTGTCATGCTTATGTTCTGTCTGTTTGACTGCTGAATGCCTATGTTTATGTTCCTGTGAGCACTGTGTCAATATGTACAGCAAGTAAATATTCTCTGCACTTATTCCTGGTGTCTTACTACGCTGGAGCATCTGGTCCAAACCTTCATAAGGAGAAAATCTTCTGCTGTGATTTTAAATGCTAACAGAGGCTGCTGTTTTGTGCTTCAAATGTTACCTGTACTTTGGTTGAAGAGAGTCAGAGAGGATCTGCTGAGCTGCAGCACCATCACATTCAGCAAAATATCTGAAAAGGGAGGACATTTCAGCATTTAATTGCTTTCCCCAAACGAATGTAGACATAGTTTCACCATTACATGCAATGATACATAGCAACTTCGCTCATACACTTTGTAGGACAATCTTATGCAGGTCTAATGAAAAGAGGGTCACTTTGGAGCCCAGTGGGACTTGCTCTCAGAAGATGACAGCCTAAATTGCACAGGTTATTTTCTTCATGGTGAAATTAGCGTATGACTGTCTATTTTGCTACTGAAATTTTTATTAAAATACCATCTACATATTAATGTGAACACAGAGGAATTTGAACAGTTAAGACATTGTTTGAAAAGTGACAGAACTGTTCATCAGTGACACAATTAGCAAGTACGATGAGGAAGGGGGAAAGACTTTAACATTTTTGTTAAATACCAAAGACACTTTATTATAAAGTATGCTGGTATAAATTACTGCTCCATTTGGTTTTGAACCAACCCCCCCCCCAAATCTGGAATAATGTTTTTTTATCCCCCAAGAGGAACAGAAAACTACCATGAACTAAGACAGAAGTCTCTAACGACTCTAAGAAGAAGAAATGATACCAGTTAGAAACATGTTTGTTCAAACATAATTTGCACCTTTATGCTTGAAAAGAACCTCAAAGTATACTTACAACAAGTTATATAAACCCAGGAGGCCCATTCCTCTGAAGTCTGTTTTAGGATCGTCACCTTGGAAACCAATTTCACACCACTGCTTGGAAATCCGACCTTCCAACGGGGCATTAGGTTTCAAACATTTCCACAACTATGGGAAAGGGGGGGAAAAATACACCAAATCACAGGTATATTGCAGCCCAAGACTTCTGTGGACTGACATTCCTGAAAATTTGTTCTCAAAGGGCTTTGCCCTCATTGCTATGCACAGTCTTTGGAGGCGCCTGAGGCAATCTTCCAAAGAAAGAGTGGGCAGAAAAAGGCCCCTTTGATATAAACAGACATTTCAGAAAGGACTGGTGGGAAATATTGTTTGTGCTCCAGCAGAAAAGGTATAAAAACCTTGTGGGTGGCTCAATGTGTGCATGCACTGTATGGTGATGTTAAGAAAACTTGGCCTAGATTCCATTTTGTTTCTTTAAATCCCCCCTGCATTCCTATTCTATCTTCCATTTCTGCAAGTTTCATTTTTAATTCCTACACTGAAATTTGCATACATTTTTTTCTTAATCTATGTATTTTCCTAATCAACTAAACCATGCTTATGTTCATTTTCCATGAATACTAAAACGTGTGCATTTTAATAGCCGTGCCATTTTAATGCCAAGAAAATAAACAAGGAAAAGGAATAAGAGTATGCCTCCATTCCCTAAAGCCACTGCAATAATCACATTAAGAGTCTCACTCTCTTTCACCCCAAGCTATTTCTGCTTCTTTGTTTTATATCCAAAAATACAAGGAAGGGGTAATAGCTTCAGTTGGCCCAGGGTTCAATTTTGACCCTTGAGGCCCTACTACAGACTGCTCCTCCACCACCAAATGGCAACAAAGAAGAGAAATAAATCATGTAATGCAAGCATTTTGCTTGATTTAAATTCACTACGGCACTTTGCCCTGAAATCTGGGGGCAAACCCGTACAAGCAAGCTTTAAACCATTAAAAAAAAAAGAAACACTCTCCCCCATTTCAATAGCAAGCTTTAAACCATTAAAAAAAAAAAAAGAAACACTCTCCCCCATTTCAAATTTGGTAGTATGGTTTTCAGGATGGAGCAGTGGGGCTACAAAAATGTGGCGGGGGTCCTGCGTGGTTCCAGCCTGGATTAGGAAACCCAATTATGGGTCTTCCACATCAAGAGCAGTTCAACAGAGAATGACACAAAAAAACTGGAGTAAACAGCCTGGTATCTCCAGCAGAAGAAACCTTTTAGTGAAATGAGCAGTTTGTCCAGTGGAACAGACTGCCTCAGTTCTTGGTGGGTTCTCTTTTGCTGGAGAAATTCAAACAGAAGTTGAGCAGATGGCTGTTAAGAATGCTGGAGCTGCATGAGGCAACAGATGTGAAGCAGTCTTTTTCAATTTCACCAACCATTGTACCTCTCATGTTCAGGCTGGGATTAGTGGCTCCCTTGATTTGTTAATGGTCATTGGCCAGGTAGAAAAGATCCTAGAAAATGCGACCTGATTGCGTACCTTCAGAAGCATTTCTTCGTGCTGAGGGTCTTCCGAATCATAGGGCTCTCTGCGCAGCTTTTCAACTTCTGCAATCAAATTCCTGTAGCCTACAATCTGTAGAAGGCAGGCTTGCAGAGAGACACCAAGTCTGGCATGAAAAGACAAACAAAGGCGCTGGTGAGCAAAACGCAAAGCGCTCAGCAATTTAAACTTTCTGTGATTGATGTTCACACAGTACAGAGCTATTACCCTCAACCTTTCTGCCACAAAAGAAGTGCATTCACTGAAAGTACACACACACCACATTGTGCTGGGTGCATGATAGTGCCATAGCTTAAGAATGATTTTCTGTTTCAATTGATTTTGGTTTGCCTGCACTAATAGCAGTGAATTTCTTCCCTAACAATGTACGTGTAAATGAGAACGAGATGAATGCTGCCACCTCCTCAAGGTCGCATCATTTTAAAATCCTCTCTTGGGAGTTACAGCTTTTGCTGCTCTCCCACAAGCCTTCCTGCTCAGCAATGATGCTCTAGCTTATGTTTCTCAGCTAGAAAAACCCGGAATGGAATTTCTCATATGTGAAAAAACAAATAAATGCTGTGTTCTTCAATGGTCTGTTACTGTAGAAAAGGTCACTGCAGTGCTTAATTTCCAAAAGAGGCTGGTGAGGAATTAACACCACAATCTCAGCAAGAATGGATCCATGTTATTGAGAGGGGCAATATGCTCTGCATATGCTCAGAAATACTTTTCATCGTACGCCCTAGGAGTCAGGCTTCATGTTCTCTGTGGTTTACATCCTGCGGCTTTGTGTTATATCCATAATTCAAGCAAAGACTGAGACAGTCGGGAGCAGCTTCAAGGAAAAATATAAAAGCAAAGTGTGCTGCTTAAATACTGCCCCATAGCGCTTAAAACACTCTTTGGTGGTTTACGAGTTACACAGGCTACACATTGCCGCCCCCCCCAAGGCAAGCTAGGTACAGTGGTTCCCCGCAAGACGATGTTAATTCGTTCCGTGAAAATTGCTGTCTTGTGAAAACATTGTCTTGCGAAACATGGTTCCCCATTGGAATGCATTGAAATCTATTTAATGCGTTTCAATGCAAAAAATCGCTGTCTTGTGAAAATCGTCCATAGAAAACATCGTCTTGCAGAACGCAGTTCCCCATTGGAATGCATTGAAATCCATTTAATGCATTCCAATGGGGAAAAATCGTCTTGTGAAAATCGTCCATAGGAAACCATCGTCTTGCGAAGCGCAACAGCAATCACAAAAACTAACTGTATTGCGGATTAATCATCCCGCGAGGCAACAGTCTTGCGAGGCACCACTGTACTCATTTTATCGACCGTCTTTCGGATTAATCGTCCCACGAGGCAGTAGTCTTGCGAGGCACCACTGTATTCATTTTATCGACCTTGGAAGGGTGGAAGGCTGACTCAACTTTGAGATGCTACCTGGGATTGAACCTGGGTTTTGGCAGAGTTTTGGCTTCAGGACTGCAGTTTAACCACTGTGCCACGAGTGGTGAAATTATATAGATAATTTATTGATGGCCACTCAAAAATTGGGGTTGAAGGAGAACATCACATAAACCTTAGTAACTGAAGGATTGCCATCTTCCCAAATGTGGCATCCCAATTAGTGAATGCCTTCCTTGCAGCTGAACACAACTGGAAGACACCTGAGCCTGTATTTTATTCAATATTTATCCACACATAGAACAACTGCAGAAGCTGCCACTGTGATCTGACAACGTACTGATTATGTGTGACCAGGCACACAACCAGCACCTTATCAGATTGCTGTGGCAGCTTCTGCAGCTGGATTTCCACATATGCCAGTACCGGACAGAATACTAGCCACTCGTACTGTGGATACAGAAATACAACTGCCACCAGGACTTATTTCGTTTTCCAAGTCTGTTAGCTTCTATCTAACACGTGCTGATTTTAAATAAAAAGTTTTATGCTATGTCCTGATCTTGGGACGATCACATCATTTAAGAACTACACTTTCTCCCCTAAAAGACATTATTTCCCATTATTGTGCAAAGCAATAGTTCATCTATGAATAGCTCAGCGCTCTCTTTAACATCGGAAGAAAACTGCATCTCTAGGACATACTGCACACATTAAGACCAGCAAGCCTGCATTTGCATGCTTGTTAGACTTCCAACGAAACCTGAATTCCTTGAGCAGGTATCTTTCGTTGGAACTCAAAGTGTGCAAATGAAGGATTGCCGATTCAATCCATACATCGGTATTGGGGGCATGTGTCGGAAACCGATGGTGCAGCTGAACAAGTGTGCAAATGAAGGATTGCTGATTCAATCCATTGATTCAATCCATGTGTCGGAAACCGATGGTGCAGCTGAAGAATCAGCATGTGATGGTAAGTATCAGGTTGCAAGGTAGAGCAGGGAAACATTGAGCAACAGGCCTAATCTGGCCTAAAGATGCCCCAAACCCAGCTCTAGCAAGGTCAATGTATTCTCCCCCTAGCATATCCTAGGAAGGATGCCAATGTGCAGAAGCAGCATCCACAGAGGAATGGCTTAGTCTGGGTAATACAAGCTGTGATGATTAGAATGTATGACTGAACCATCAAACCACACTTTCCCTGGGACTCCACTGTGAATCTATGGGAAATAACAGGTCCCAAAGAGATACAAAGCAAAACATTTAAACACCAAAAAAAACACACCAAGCTTTCCCCTACAACCTCAACCCCACCCACGTAAACTTACTGCGGGTTTACATCTGGGTTAATCTTCTTCAGCTCCATGATTGCATCTATAGTTTTTTCAATAGCATCTGGATGAACACTTACTGCATTTTGGAGCAACTGAGAAAAAAATAATTTAATCCACATCAGCTACTGCAACAGAAAATGATATGTAACCATCATGACTGAACATAACTTTTATGAGTGTTCCTGACATCACAGACCTGGGTTTCTATTTGTGTGAGCGTGCGCTGCACAGAAACATGGCAAACCTATCAACATGCTAATGTCACCTCTCCCCAAGCTGATACCACCTCAATAGGTGGCATTCAGCAAGTCACAATTTCCATCTGCTGAAGGAGATCAATAATGACTTGCTTCACAGTGGTGTCAGGAGACAAAGGGACCTTTAAAATATATTAAAAGCACCTGGCATGTTAGAACCTGCTGTAGACAGACTTAACAACACCTATTTTATCCCTTGGTGGCCTTAAAGCTTTGGTGGACTATTCTGTGTGATCTAGGTAGCTGTGTTTGATAAAGGACTCCGATACTGTTCTTTTTAATTTTATAGGGCTTTTCAGTGTCCAGGGTACCTCTCATATGTTGCCATTTCAATGATACCCCAACACCAAAAACAGCAATTTCCCAAAGAACACCCAAAAACCATCTTGGGCAAGATGGAATATTCAGATGTCATACTGATTTCTTGAGGCCACTGTGGTAAGAAGACTGCATTTTCCACTACGTCCTTTCCTCACTGGTGCCCTTTGTTCCTTCAGGTTTATAAATAAATGACTCACACACAGCTCCATGATTAGAAGTGTGTTGCTGATGTTTTGCTGTTTGCAAGGCCACACAAACTGTTAACATCACTGAGAAGAAGAAAACTAGGAGCACATGGTATGGGAAATCAGGACCTAACATACAGACGCATACTCACCTTACTCTTTGAACTTCTCAGTGATGTTTCTGCCAAGAAAACATTTTAAAAACTTCAGTTTTAATTAGATTTCAGCAATTTTAAAAATAAGAGAGCAATATAATCACTGGCAACCAATAATCAGAAATATTTCAGCCCTATCAACAAATTTGCAGGCATTATACTACATCACTATAAGTGTATAATTGCTAAGGAGAAGAAAATAAAAATGGGGAGAGATTGAGTTGCAAACCAATATGTGAAGCCAAATTCCCACAAATATATAAAGTATCAGTATAATGAGAGGGTAACTCAAGTGCATTCAGTAATATAAAATAAGTTTTTATTTATCAGGCAGGCAGGGCAACAAACACTTTGAAGCATGAATATTTAAATTTGTTTAATTATGAATAATTTACAACACACAAAATTCTGGATTAAGCAATATCTTTACAGTATTGGACAATGACGGTACAAACAAGGACAAGTTCTCAGTTGTCCAGAACTCTTCATCAAGCAGAGACAGGACGAAACATGGGATTCAAGAAGGAATTCCCATAATTGGGCCAGATGTGATGTCTAATGATTTGCAGATTGACAGGGAGGAGGAGAGAAGATAGGCAAAAGCCTTCCATGAGATGGAAGTGCCTACAGATGGATAACTTTTCCATTCTGCCTCATGATCTACTTCCCAAAAGCTTCATTTAGTCTTCCTAACAATCTGACTGCATGAGTCACTGTGGACCATACAGTGGGGTCTCTACTTAAGAACTTAATCCGTACTGGAAGGTGGTTCTCAAGTTGAAAAGTTCTTATGTTGAATCTGCATTTCCCATAGGAATGCATTGCAAACCATTTAATCCGTATCTGCTCTTTTCCGTCTATAGAAACTACAGTGGAACCTCTACTTAAGAACTTAATCTGTTTTGGAATGGTGTTCTTAAGTTGAAGCGTTCTTAAGTTGAAGCAAAATTTCCCATAGGAATGGACTGAAAACCGATTAATCCGTTCTGGCTGTTTGTTTTTTGTTATGTAGAGGTGCGTTCGTACATTGAAGCATTAGTTCCCATAGGAACTAATGCAAAGCTGGTTAATATGTACTCTACCACTAGGGGGAGAATTTTTTTTTAACCTAAGATGACCTTAAAAAAAAGAGCAGGAAAGGTTTTTTTTCCTGTTCTTATCTTGGATTTCTGTTCTCAAGTAGAAGCAAAATTTAGCAAATGGAGCTGTTCTTAAGTTGGATTGTTCTTAAGTAGAGACGTTCTTAAGTAGAGACCCCACTGTATCTGGCCCAATGTTTAGACTTTCTTCCTGAAGCCAAAGTTTTATTCTAGCTTTGCCTGATGGATAATTCTGGGGAACTTGAAAGCTTGCCTAGTTTGTATCTTTCTAGTGATACATTAAAAGTACTGCCTACCCAGAACTTTGTTTTCATGAAAGTCTTTGCATGCAATATATTACAGCGGTGACAAACACACACATAAAATTTAAAGCAAATATCAAGGGGTTGGTGGGGTTTTTAAAACTTTTTTTAAAACTTTTTTCCTCCCAAAAAGCTTCTTACCAATTTTCATAGTTCTGCCGGCCCCAGGCTTTGTGTTATAGCAGATCCTTTGCAATTCACATCGTCCCGTCAGCTTCCTTGCCACGAATTTCATGCAGCGCCATAAGCATTTGCAGTAGAAGTACAGGCACACCTGGACTAGCATTCTGTTAAAAGAACCCTTGAAGTGAGAATGTGAAATTAGACTCTCAGATGGGCAAAGCGCCCCCAATGAGCTGCTCAAGAAAAGCTCCCATTCCCATTCTTCTAAATATCTCTGAAGGCGGCCATTTTTAACTCTCTTCTACTGAGTCTTACTGTTGGGAGGAAATTCAGGGTGTTTTTCCCCCTTTAAGAACAGTTTCTCCAGGTAAACAAAAACCTGTTAGCCATTCTCAGGAAAGAAATCACCCCAGTGAGCTCTTAATTCAAAGGAAAAAACTCGCTTTGAGTCTGTGTACACTTGCATGCATGTGCATTTAATATAAGGAAGTAAGAGCATGGCTTAACTTCTGTAGTGATATAAGTACCAGGTAACAAGAAGAATATCATTCATTCATTCATTCATTCATTCATTCATTCATTCATTCATTCATTCATTCATTCATTCATACATACATACATACATACACACACACACACACACACACACACACACACATACATACATACATACATACATACATACATACATACATACATAGTGGTGCCCCACATAGTGACGATAATCCGTTCCGAAAAAATCGTCGCTATACGGATTCGTAGCTATGCGGAACAAAAAAGCCCATAGGAATGCATTAAAACACATTTAATGTGTTCCTATGGGCAAAAAACTCACCGTTATGCAGATATCCTCCATACGGCCGCCATTTTCGCTGCCCAGTAAGTGAGGAAAGGGCGCGAAAACACTGCGGGCGACCATTTTTTCCGGCGGCCATTTTGGAACCGCCGATCAGCTGTTAGAAAAAACATCGCCATGCGAAAATTGATAAGCGAAACAGCTTACCGATCGTCGCAAAGCGATGTTTCCCCATTTAAAACATTGTTATGCGATCGCTTTTGCGATCGCAAAAAACACATCGCTATGTGGATTCGTTGGGAAATGAATCGCTCATTAAGCGAGGCACCACTGTACGTACGTATTTTAAAGAACATAAACATCTGGGGTGCAATGCCAAGGCCTCCAGGAACCTGATGGCCTAAAGGAGAAGGGGTTCAGTGAGTTCTCTAGTACTTTGTGAATTCAGACATCAGATTCCCTGCTAAGACAGTGCAGAAGAAAGGATGAAGATGATCAATTCGTGTAATGAGCAGCAAACAAGAAGTGTTTCCATTGGCCCAGCAAGATATGAATTGCTAGGCACAAGGCCCTATCTGAAGAAAACTTCTGTTCTCTACACTTAAGGCTCAGTTTCAGTCCAAAGGGTCTAGGTCTGGCTTTAGCTTAAACTCTCACATCCAAAACCTGACTTTAGGGACCTCACGATGGAGAATATGCTTGCTGCATCTCAGTTTTTGGATGCTCCTCCCTTGAGTGCCAGCCTGGGTTGAGACTTACTTCCTCTGTTCTCCTAATGCCTAATTTGCACCTTTCTTTTTTTCTGTGACTATCCAAAGGAAGGCAAGCAAAACTGCTTTTAAGGAATTTTTCTACACAGAAAGCCTGTGTGAAAGGGGCAAGGAGAAAGGTGGCTAAGTCCACTGGGATACCCTACATTACTGTTTCTAGGAACCAATTAAAGCTCAATTAGATTTAAAGCAGCAGGGCTTGGGATCAGATCAACTGTGTGCAACGGATCTTGGGTTTGTAGAGGGAAATGATTGGGACTTTTCCTGTATTTCTGAGGTGTTTCTGTCTAACTGAAGAATGAGCCACAAAATAGGTTTAGTGCTTGAAGAACAAACAGTGTTGCACACAACTCAGGCCAAGATTCCTTGTTGCTCATCATTGGGCCAACAGAGTATCTAAACTTGTCTATACTGTACAACGATGTCTTAGCATCTCAATGTGGCCTGAACAGATGAGGCATGTTTTAGATACGACAATATGTACAAAATAATATGTATAAATACAGTCTAACCACATGATAGTAAATAGAGTAGAGGCAAGCAATATGCCACCTAGTTACTGGACTGCAACTCCCATCATCCTTCTCTTTGGGCTATGCCAGCTAGAAATGATGAATTATCTCCCCTTGAAACAGATTAACACTGACTTATGAAGACTGAAGTTATCATTCATAATCAAGTACATCTAGAAGTTCAGGGAACTGCTACCTTTGTTTCAAAATTCCTTTGGAAGTGGCCTCACCAAAAAAAGGGGGGAATGGGGGGGTCATAAAAAGAAAAATTATTTCTGGACTCCATTTTGTATATCAGGAGACCTGAACCTGCGAGTTTTCTGAAGCAGCAAGAATTCTGCAACACGCCTGAATGCTGCTTCTTGAGGCCTTAGGTTTTAACACACCTACTCTTGAGTAAAGCGAAAACAAACATTTCACTGAGTTGCCTTCAAGGCTGAAAGTCTTGACAGAATAGCAAGGGAGAAAATATTCGTCAGTCACCACTGTACAGTGGCAAAATATCAAATACCTGGAAAAGCCAAAGGGAGAAGAAATCATCAGGCTTCTTATATTAAGAGGCAAAGTTTGGGTGTAAGAGACTAAACAGAACTGAACAGGGGAAGACTAAAAGGTAGCAGGCCCCGGGTTTGCAAGACACCTCCATCTTTGGAAACATTTGCTTCCAGTTTGTGACGACTATAGTCCCATGTATTTTGATGCCCTAAGTTCTGCTAATGTATAGTTTAAACACATCTGCTTCCTAGCCTACAATTTCCTCTTTTCTTTCAAGCAAACTACTGACAAGCCTAGCGGTTCGAAAGAATGCAAATGCGGGTAGATCAATAGGGACCACTTCGGTGGGAAGGTAACAGCGTTCTGTGTCTAAGTCGCACTGGCCATGTGACCACGGAAGATTGTCTTCATACAAAACGCTGGCTTTATGGCTTGGAAATGGGGATGAGCGCTGCCCCCTAGAGTCGAACACGACTGGGCAAAAATTGTCAAGGGGAACCTTTACCTTTACCTTACTGACAAGCCCAGACACACTTTATCGGGCTCATAAGAACCAAAAGCAAAGGCTTTCAACCGTCTTCTCCTTGCTGTGGAAGGACTAGGGAGTGCATCAGCCAGTCATTTTCATGGTTAGAACATTGAACTTGGGAGTTCTAGGTTGTGGTCCCTGCTTCAGCTGTGAAACTCACTAAGAGACCTTGGGGTAATGACCTTCTCTCAGCTTCACCTGCCTCACAGGGTTAGTTTTTAGAGGGGAAAGTAGAGAAAGAGACCAGTTTCTGTTGCCTTGATCTCACTGGGAGAGGGGCAAGATATAAATGCAATTAACTAATATGAGCCTTAGGCTCACTGTGGTTCATTCTCATCTCGCTAAACTAGGAAATAGTGTGACAGCCAAATCAGGCCACTGTGTCAACCCTGCAACCTCACCCACAATATTTGTGTGCATGGAATACCTGCACAAGCAGCCTTTCCCATTTAACTCGTGTCATTTCCACACGTATTTCTCCAATATGCAGTTAATGTCCCTATAGCACTGAAGTCAAAAGGTGAAGACTCTTTCCACAGAAACTCTATTTGTGCCACAATGCAACCTTCAAGACAGAGAGTTGGGTTTTTTTAATTGCACAGCACCACATGCAACATTAGTTCATTTATGCATGCTTGTCTATGTATCTTTTTCTTCTACTTGTCTATGTATCTTTTTCTTCTAAAGTGTAAATACCATTGTGTCAACAGGGATTATTCTGAGGTAAGTGTTCACAGGATTGCAGTGTTCGTAAGTAACTTAAATAACATGTGTACACTTGGGGTCATTGCCCTGCAAAGGATTGCTGGATCTGGCCCTCTGTCTTCTCTTCAGTAGAAGAACCGCAGCTGATGATATTCTGCTCCACTCTTATATAGCATGAGATTTTTAGGAAAAGCAAATGGCCCTTTGTAATAAATAGGCCATAAATAAATATCTGTAGTAAATAGGCCATAAATAAATAAATATCTGATAACCTAATAGGACAGGAGGCGATATTTATGAATGCAGAACTCATCTGCAGCTGGTGAGCACTTGTGTTTTAACTCCATGATACTGGCTTGTAAATGAACCAGCCAGTATAATGGCCTTGCAAACTGCAATTATTACTCCTAGGTAAACTATGATTACTGTTGGATTTTGGCTGCAGTCCTCAACAAACTTGCTTGGAAGGCAGTCATACTGAATTCTGATAGTCCCACTTCTAAGTAAACATGCACAGGAATAGCAGTGAGTTGTTTGGCTTATCTAGTTCAGATGCAAGCCAAATTGACACCAGTAAGGAACACTAAGTCACAAGTGCAATACTAAAAAGCAATTATAGATCACACACCACTTACAGAGGAGAGTACTAAGAAAGTACTACTGTATATTTTAGCTAAGAATCTATTAGTAAAATAATATTCATTTGTTGGTACCTTTAAATGATATACTACTCCTCCATCTTAAACTTATGACATTGGAGATCTTCTTTAGGAACAAGAATGGAAAATACAGTTAAGTCTGATATCTTTTCAATGATTGTTTTTACAAAAACAAATTCTTGCTTGTAGAAATCCTGCAATGAAAGCACACTATTTATGAAATGGATTAGGCGTTTTAAGATGAACTGGCTTTCCTAATCCCACCAAGATCACAAATGAATGCCTATATTTTTCTATACTATCGTAATATACCACACAAACATTTTCAGCAAATGGGTGTGTAACTCAGAATACAATTTTTAAGAGAGATGGTGGGGCAGGGAGCACTCCTGCCACTTTCCTGACTCCCCAGAAGTCTTCTTTGTTATAGTTGCTCATGACATCAACAACTGCATCAACACAATCTCTGCTTCACCCATATTTGAGATCCAAAAACTCTAATTAGTACAAACCACAGTTGGTATTAGGATCAAAGTAAAAATTAACTATAAGGAAGTTAGGGATGGGGAGAATTTAATACTGGGGAGCAGAAAGTTAACCACAACCCTTGGCTCATTTTTTTGTTTCTTAACTGAAATCAAGAAATGGGACCTATTATGTCAGGTCAAACACCAGTATTTTTTTTTTAAATGGAGATAAATTGGCAGGACCC